GGTGCTGTGTGGTAAAACGTAAGGTGCTTTGTGGTAACACAGGGTGCTGTGTGGTAACACGTAAGGTGCTTTGTGGTAACACAGGGTGCTGTGTGGTAACACAGGGTGCTTTGTGGTAACATGTAAGGTGCTGTGTGGTAACACGTAAGGTGCTTTGTGGTAACACAGGGTGTTGTGTGGTAACACGTAAGGTGCTTTGTGGTAACACAGGGTGCTTTGTGGTAACATGTAAGGTGCTGTGTGGTAAAACGTAAGGTGCTTTGTGGTAACACAGGGTGCTGTGTGGTAACACGTAAGGTGCTTTGTGGTAACACAGGGTGCTGTGTGGTAACACAGGGTGCTGTGTGGTAACACAGTGTTGTACGGTATCATATAGGGTGTTGTGTAGTATCACATAGTGTTATGTAATATCACATAGTGTTTTGTGTGATACCACATACAGTGCTGGTGTAACACTGCTCTTATGATGCTGGGTGTATCTCGTTTAATAATCTAAGATTGTGAAGATGCTATTAACACGTTATGGATGTGTACGAGGTATCGTAACTTTACGATGAAATTTCGAAGATGTCATGAAAAGCGCACGAGCGAGTTGTCGTTTTCGTAGCGTATAGCTGAAGGAATGTTCCAAGACGCAACTTCTGCCATTGTTGCTGGTTTGAATTTATTGTTAACTGCTGGGTTAATGTACTGCTAGGAAATAAATTTTGTAAAATGCGTTTTCGTTCTTGATGCTTTTCGTTCTTGATGTTGGCGTTGGTGAGCGTATACTGGAGCCGTTGGGTGGTAGTGGTTAGTATTCACATCATACTGCTTGTACCGTTGCATCGATGGCATCTCCCAGAGCATTGGAAATGTGTTTTGAAAAAAACAGGGTGATCGTATCGTGACCCTACGTGTAATAGCTTACATGATATTGTTGAGGTTCTAAAGTTCTAAACGAAGAAAGCAAACCTGCGCGTGAGTGCGCGCTTGCATGAAGTATGAATAAAAAACTCCCTTCTTTTTTCGTTTCTTCTTCCTATTTCTCTCCTACCTCTGCCTTTCCCCCTTAACCGTCTCCTGCACATTCTTTTTATTATTATCTTAACCCCCTTCCTTCCCTACTCCTGTTCCTCCCCCTCTTCCCTGCTCCTCCTCCTCCACCACCACCTAATTCACCTCCTATATCTCCTTGTACTCCACCTTACTCTTCTCCCTCTCCTTCTCAGCGTCTTCTGCCGACAGTGGACATGTAGGTTGTAGTTTCACATTTATGTCTGTACGTGTGCTTTCCAACTCCGTGAACAACTTATGATTACAGATACTAGAACAATTACAGGTTTTCATCTATATATATTATCCACAATAACAACCTCGCTGAGGAATATAATCGATATTTTTTTATGACATTTTTAAGCTATCAGATAGAGAAAAAAGAGACCAATATTGCAATAACTATTGCCGGTGGTATGTTTTTTACAAGTATGTATGATCTCATACAGCTCGACTAGATTTGTGACAGATCAGATAATTGTCTCATCCACCTAGCAGCAGAGCTCTAGCCAATCATCGTTGCAATAAGACGTTCTAAAAGATAATGCTTGGCAAGAAAGTCAAAAAGATGGCTAGCTGACCTAGCAATAATATTCAAGGAAAATGTCATTATGTTACTCGGACTTCTAGGCCAATAATAAAGTTACACCAGAGCACTGGTTACACGGTTATATACTACATTATATAGCGCTACCTATTGGCAGAATTTCATCGTTTCGGCAGTGATAAAATTTTTGCCATATTTTTTACGTGAAACGTAATTATCTGGATAATACATTTATATCACGAAAGAATAATACATATCGCAATAAGACAGGATAGGAATTACAATTGGAGAGAATTGTTCTATATAACAAGAAGGTCGCCGTCACTTGTATGAATTATTAGTTAAGCCACACTCACTTGTCTGAATTATTAGTTAAGCCACACTCACTTGTATGAATTACTGCTCAAGCCACACTCACTTGTCTGAATTATTAGTTAAGCCACACTCACTTGTATGAATTACTGCTCAAGCCACGCTCACTGGTCTGAATCGATTTTCGAACGCTCTTTTCTGGTCTCGCCTGAAGGTGAGCAGGGCCTGCCTGCGCCCCTCACCGTAGCTCACCCCCAGACCCACCCCCGTGGATCGCAGCCTCGGTATAAAGCCGCTGTAACCTGGCACCGGTAGCTCGACCGCCGTGACGTCATCGCCGTCGTCGGATGAGGAGGCTGAGGAGAGAGAGAAGCGACAATTAATGCGCAATGTAACATCAACCACATGCCAACAACCGGAGCGTCTCTCTCTCTCTCTCTCTCTCTCTCTCTCTCTCTCTCTCTCTCTCTCTCTCTCTCTCTCT